AAGCCTAAACTGCAAGGACTGTGAACAAAAATACATAGGAGAGACATAAAGGACATTCAGCACAATGATAAAAGTACACTAGCGACTATGCAGAAAAAAGGATATAGAAAGATCGGAGATAGACGAACACATCACCCTCACCGGCCACACAATTGATTGGAAGGAAACGGAAAGACTTGCCTCATATGAGGAAAACACCAGGAAATAGAAGATCAGGGAGGCTGTGGACATCCTCTTTCAAAGAAACCTGATTAACAGGAGATCGGAAGAGGGAAGATTCTGCGATAATTTCGCGCTCTGCCTGAGCAGACCTGGAGATTCAATGAATACATCAAAACGAAGGCACTTGGACCCAGCGCAACTGTTCAACAATAGGAAGAGACATCACCAAGGAGCGGCTCATGAGGAACAAAGGGATCTCAAGATGAAGCGACTGCAATGAGAGGAAACGAGAGCAAAGAATTGTGTGAATAAGTCGATGGGTCACATGAAGTGGGGTAAAGAGAAAGTGATGCATCACTAGAAGGCAGAACAAAAAATAAAAACAAGGAGTGATGCCACAACGGTTGAACAGAGAATTGGTCAAGGGGATTGCCTTCACTTGTCACTCTGTGCTTAGGATGGCGACCCTCGATGATGATGCCGGCGAAACGTTTGGGAATCTACCAAGTCATTGGTTCAATGTTGGAAATCATGAAGACTATAGTAGAGGACACAGGACTAGGTAGCTCCGCAAAGTCTCCCTGACAAAAACAAGGTCGAACCAATACTATATAGTAAAAATAGTAGTTATTACATCAATGGTAATAAGGAGTCTGTCTAGCATACGTAAACCACAGGGAAGCTGAGATCAGTAGATTGAGGCATATATTGTTTCAAAGCAATTACCCATAAGGATTAGTATACAATTACATTTTAATTGTCAATAAAAGGATGAAGGAAGTTTGGTATCTGGGGCGGGATAAACAATTGGGCCATTCTAATCGCTTACTGATTATATCTTCCTGACAGCTTGCGAATAAAGGTGGATGATCTACTGATGAAGTGGAACGTAAAAACAATTTCGAAAGAGAAATCAGCCCTTATTTTCAGTAGCTACTTCGTTTAGAGAATTTTCTGACCCTTTTTCTAGATCAGGCTGCTACAAGAATTTGTGCTCATGTGGGGGAGACCTGCCGACCCATCCAGAGTAGATTATGCGAACACAAACCCGCTTGTAAAGGTCTATGGGTCCAAAAATCGGAGCTCACTCAACATATGGTTTATAGAGGACACTTAATAGACTGGTGCAAAACACGTTTTGTGGGTTACAGGAACTTCACATTAAAGTGTAAGATTAGGGAGTCTATATAAATTAATAAAATGACCAAAGTCTTTAATAGCAGGAACGAGTATAGAAAACTGAGTAGGAATAATCTATGGCTGTCGGATGGGCTTGGAGAGAGGGAGAGAGAGGGTGTTCAGTAAGAGCTAGTGAGCAGAAGAAGGAGGCTGGATTAGACTCGTATTTAACTAGGACTATCATACTACCCATGACATGAGCTTCGTATACACACAATTGACAATAGCACATGGCTAAACATGATTCAAAATTAGAGGATGGTACACTAGTTTACTTGTGTAGGCAAACAGCTAACACCAAACTCATTTCCTATTCGGAAAATAACTTCACTCATTTGCAAGCATGTGAGTAATTTTTAAGTAGCCAACCAAATCATGAGATGCCTCATTAAGATCGCGAAGTTAGGTGCTTTAAAAAGCGACTTTGGTTGCAGCTAGCGATCTCTTCTTTTTGGTTTAATACATTTTTGCTCTATTTCGTAGAGTATGGATTCTTGCTTTGATTATGCCTGTCAAGGTGGTATAGAGGAAGGCTTAGCACAGCTTCATCGGGGTGGCAGGATCGTGAGCCGAGGACTTTTTGCACAATCCAATGGTCTTCCCTACGCGGCAATCCTCTTTCAGTTTCCGGTGAGACCACATCACGAATTCATCCCACTCAATTTTTCCTTCGAAATGGAAAGTCATGTCATAATAATCATAAATTTCCTGTTTCACCATAATTGCAGACCATAGATTGAACTACTCAAGAGTATAAACATAAGAAGTCTAAGACTGGCCTGGGAGATTTCGGGGAGCATGACTTGGGCTCGGATATTTTATGGACAGTGAGGAACAGGTAACACGGTGGGAGGAGAGAGTGAATAAATTAAACAGCGGATTAGGTCCCAGAAGCCCTGTGAACGGCTTTGGAAACTAATAATAAAAGTGGTCACGCTTCAATAAATCCACTTGAAGTGACACACTTTTAGGCGGCATTGGGGCAAACTAAGATGGAGATAGGTGTAACTAGGTAAATGGTTCATATAAATGAGGGTTGAATAAAACAGATGTAGCGTTAAAAGCTAGGAAAGGGGAAGGGGAACTACCACAATAGTCGAACAGGAAACTGATTAAGAGGATTGCCTTCATATGCCACTTATAAGTTGTAACGCTGTGCTAAGGATGCTAACTTTCATTGAAGATGCCAGCGAACCGTCTGGGAATGTACCTAGTCAACGGTCCGATACTGGGGCTTATGGCGCAGATAATATAGAACTGGGTACGTTCCACAAAGTCCCTCTGCCGCTCCGTTAAACTCGCGAAAGCAAGGTCAAACCGAAGCCTATTTATATTCAGTGAATTATTTGGGATTGAAATAAGAGGAATAAATGGTTATGGTATCAAAGTAACCTTAAGCACTTATTACTTTGGGCTGAGGTGAAAATATTACGTTTGATTCAAACTTTGAAGACAGACGATCGAGTTTGCCCAACTCCTCACCAACTGAATGAAATGCACATGTGCTGCACAGACGTCTTTACAGACCTCTGCATAGTAGAATGTATTTATATAACTTCTGGTACCGAGAAAACTACAAGAGTACCATATGCTATTGTAAAGGTGTAGTTAAATAAGCTTGTACCAGGATAACAGAGTTTCTCGTAATCCTTTACGCTTACCATAAATTATTTAATGTGAAAAAAACTTTAAGATACACATATGTATCGTGAATCTTGAGGTTACATTAGTTCAGAGGAAGACTTGCAAAGACCTGCTCTTCCTGTTATTATTTGCTTGTAACAACTCTGGTATTTTCTCTGACATTCCATGTCACTATGGCATCGGAAGAATCTGGTCATATTAGCCAATCTTGCTGAGCTAATCCTAAATTTAAATTATTTAATATTTCAAGTAGGCCGGCCTGCTCATCTTGCCCGCGCTTGCAAACTCCATGGTTTACCCTGAATACTCAGACGCCATTTTATTAGCCCTTTATAATCTTTCTTCTTACTTGTCATTACATCTTCCTTACGTAGCCTCCGGTCACATCTATAGCCAGTTTTCCAGTGCACCAGGTCAAACTTACGTCACTACAAATAAACTTCTTTCTCCACAGTTTATAGGCATTATGAAGCTAGGTGCTCCAGATCATTTTTGATGTCTTTACATTTTCTTCGAACCTGTAGCAGTCTTTGCTTTAAGCGAACTAATCCATTTTTTGTAGAAATCCTTTTGCCACGAACTATAACTATGTAGCATTTACATTCTCAACCCAGGATGCTTTTGGCCTCAGTATGGAGAAGCAGTTTTGGAAGCCCGCTTTATCATAGCAAGTATATTCGCCGCATGCATCCAGAGATGAAAAACTATAAACCTCTTATTCGTCTCATCAATATGTAAGGTCACTTAATTTTTATTCTGTTCATTTTCGCTTTGTAAGCTTTTCCAGTTCTATTAGATATAACTAAATAAGCAAGAAGCTCGGTTTACTTTCTTTTCCTCTTGGCATAAATTTTATTTTGAGAGAGCATAGAATCCGTAACCTGTAATCCTTGATGTGCGTGGACAAGTTAAACTCTAACACTGGGCACAATAAGATTCTTCAACTATATAACAATGGGCACAACATACAATGTAGCTTAGTGGCAAAGCCTAATAAAATTCATAGAAGTGCGTTAACCTCGTTGTCACAACTTGATCTTGTTGTCAGGGCAACTTAGTAGAACGCACCTAGTCCGAAGTCGTTTGCCATAGTAGTTGTCATTATTCCCAGCATCAGACGGTGAACTTGGTGCATTCTCAAACGTTTCGCCGGCATCGAAGTCGGC